TCTTTTGACTTTTATTAATCACTTATCAGTATTGTGGTTCAATGAACCACTACAGGAGAGTATACAATTGGCTACATATGTTACTTTTCTATATTACCTATTTAAGGAGTCCAACCAAAGATTCCTCACCAATTGCTGTACCTAATACCCCTGCTTGGGTGTTCTACTTTAAACTCTCTGAACCTGTAACCTGTGTTAACATTACTGGTTATCTCAGATATACCAGATCATTGTCTTTAACCTTAGGACTATTTTATCCTCAAGATAAACCCTTCAAGCCTTCTGTATCCATTTTTACAACTGACCTAGGTATCATTATAGCAGAACCGATACTTATGATCAGGGCTAATCATTAAACTACTATGCCCTTGTAGAGTTTACTTAGACCCCAGCATCTACTTCACAGTATAATCCTAGTACTTTAGTATACCCTTACCTTTTGTTCAGCCTTTTTACTAAACTCCCAATCCAGATAGTCTGTATAGGACTATGACCAGTCTATCAGTATATCAGGTCAGCCTGATATCCTATTCCTCTGGTTTGTTCTGATGACCTGGTTGGTGGTATTTTTGAGCCTCCCAACCCAGAGATTCTTGCCTGTCTGGCTACTACGACCAGGTACTACGACCTTAGTATCTGTTTTCCTGGGCTAGCCTTTACAGTAAGGCCATCAAAGATCCAGCTACCTCTATACTCAGGTCTTCTCAAATGGACTTCTTGTTACTTAATTTTAATAGATTTACATGGCCACAAGGACTTATCTAGTGTTTGCACCACCTGATTTGTTGGTTTGCATTCCTCTGTGTAATGCCATACTTACACAGATGCCCATGACCTGCCAGTTATGCTAGTGCGACTGCTATTACAAGTATCTTAACCCAATCATTAGTAACAATTGCCGTAATATGAATATTACATAGGTGATTATCCAAATTTTTACCATTGATGGGATTTGAACACCCAACCTACTACTTAGAGAGTTGACAACCTGACCAATTCACTAGGTCATCACATCCTTACAAAAAAAAATTTTATATAATAACTACAAAATATATTATTAATAAAACTTTTTTATTAGAGATGTGGCGACCTAGTGAAGTGGTCAGATTGTCAACCCCAAGTGGCAGGTCTAGAGTTCAAATTTCATGGATGACGAATTTTGGAAAATAGGTCTGTGTTATAGTAACTGTCTCTGTTGATCAGTTAGATTGATGTATCTGTAACATTTGTTGCACCATCTTGAATGGAAGCTTGAGGCATCTATGTTAAGTATAACGTTACACCCATATATAGGAATGTTAATAACTGGTATTACATAAGACTTCAGTGCAAATCCATGATAAGACCACCAGGCGCAGAAAGCAAAGGAACCGAAGAGTCAGAAACCTACTTGGAAATTCCGAGTAAGGAGATAGCACAAAACTTTTGACGATGCTGTCAGACTGATAAAAGCCTATGAAACACCCCAAAGGGATAGGCGGATAAACTGGATGACAAGATGTGTAAAGAAGCATATGACCAACCAGACTGCTGGAATCACCAAAAGAAAAGGATACTAAGATATACCATATCAGGCCATCTGGATTGGAAGTCTGGGGAGTCCTGTCAGTCCTGAGTAGCGGTTAGTAGAGGATGATGAAGAGGACATCAGAAAGATGGGTACTGGGGTTTTGGGTGAACCTTACAAGGGTAAAAGTGGTTTAATGGTTAACCCTGACTGCAAGTAATAGTTTAAGCCAAAGCGTGACCAAGTGAGCTATAAGTATAGGATACAGAATGCACTGGTAGGTTTAGTATAAAGTTAAATATGACTTAGTGACCATGATATATCTTTACTGGTTTATCAGAATCACTGGTAGGGTGTGGTGGATGCAGGATCAGAGTGTTTAAATAGAGAATTTACAGGTAGGTTCTAGGTATAGCAACTAGTGTAAAACCTTCAAACGAACTACTTAAATTAGACAATGACTAAAGTTGTATGAGTGGCTAGTTGTACACTCTTTCTATAATTGCCTCTGTGTCTGTACATGTACAGATGCTGGCCAACTTATACTATCAGTAAAATCCTGGGTCACAAGTACTCACCTTAACATTTAAAAAAAAAAAAAAAACTTTTTTATTTTTTAATTAATTAATAAAAAAATTTTATAATATTATAAATAAAATTATTTATCTATTACAGTAAAATTTTGAACTATTATATTATTTTAAAAAAATATGATAAAATTTGCCTAGGTTGAATAAAATTTACCTAGATAATACAAAATTAGATAATTTGATTGGTTAATTTATATAAATCTATATTAATTTTATTATATAGCTTTATAAGCTAATGTTTAAAAACTCATATCTCAATGAGTTTTTACCCAATTTTAATAATTTTACTATCACCGTTAATATTTTAAAAAAAAAATAATAATAATTTTACTATCACTAGAATCAGAAAGATATACTCTACAACTTTTATATAAGGAATTGGTAAAAATTTGCAACTAATTATATATAGAAATGATCACGTTGTACTCTACCCTTAAACATGATTAATTAATATATCATATAACTGTCTAATTGCTATACTGTATCATCGCGAAATAACGCCCCGGGGTGTTATTTTGAAACACATTGCTTGAAGAGAGCTAATTATTGCTTTAAACGAATAAAAATCTTAATTTTTGGTTATTAAAAGCCTTCGGATAAATTAATTATTAGCTCTCTTCAAGCAATCTGCCCCTAAATAATGCCCCGAGGCGTTATTTCGTGACGATACGGTAAAAAAGTCTACAGATGGTATGCAATTAGATAGTATCGATTGTATATGCCCTTATCACGTATATACGTATTCCCGAAAATTTAAGTCCTCCACTACGCTCCGGACAATTAGCAAAGCAAAGAAAATATTAATGAAAGGCTTATACAAGAAAAACTTTAAGCAAATTTCCGCAATAGATAGTCGTACGAAAGTTTGTAATTTTTTTTTAAATCCAATGTTTATTTTCACAATACAATAATTGTTAAATTTTCTGTGTAATATGTAGTAACAGATTTTTAGAGGTTATATATTCAACCGTTTTGACCTGAACTGTAAATTTTTGACCCAGTTGAACCGTTTTGACATGGGTGACCCGGTTTACTATATAATCCAGTTCTAAACTCTATTCCTGGTCCCGATGTCTCTGTGTTACTTCCCCAGCCTTAAAAAGAAAAAAATAAAGTCAAAATTTTCAAATGATATACTTATAAAAATACATTCCAAAAAAAAAAAAGACCTGGTAAGGCATCAAGTAACTTTCTCTGTTCCTGTGGAACACGGCGCCACTCCGTATTATAATAATTTTTTGCCCATCCCCATTAAAACAAAACAATGATCTTCAGCACGTGAGATTATATCAGAAATTAAGCTGCAAGTTAAAATTTCAACAAGTACCCCCCACCCAGGATTAGAAAACGGATAAAGTTTTTTATATCGTCTCCTCAACGCGACTTTAACATCGTTATCTTCTCGAACATCCATTAATTGAAGATCTCCGAGACCATGAGTAATATTAGTTGAATATTTGAATCTTTCAATGTTTAGAAAACAGTCGTAACCGGGAGATTTTATAGAGGCATCTTTTATAAATCGAAAGGAGGATTCGAAAATTATGATATGTGAACCTTTTATCGAAATTATAGACGATTTTTCTTCACTTGGATCGATTTCATATGAGCGCACGAAAACAATTTAAAGTAAATCCACAAGTTCGATAAAGCATTAGTTAATATCTCCAGATTACTTAAATCTTTTCTAAAAAAAAAGAAGAATCCAGAATTATACATATATTGCCAAAAAAATTACCTTTCAAATTTTTGAATACACTCGTCGCTAAAAAAACATCGAATGTAAAATTTGTTGTCATGGATTTTGGCACAGGTTTTTTCTTTCAAATTATCTGTTTCCAATCGAACTGTTAAAAACTAAAATAAAAAAAAAAAGATTTAACGTTTTAGCGCGTTTATTCATTTAAACTTACGTAGATCCGGGACATTAGATATTGCTTACAAGAGCATACCTCAAATATCTGTGCTCTTATAGGTTTTTTGACAGGTTCATCAATATTATTCAGATAATTTAATACCTTTTCTTTTATCCATTTTTTATGCAAGAAGCTTGACATGATATATAAAATAGAAACTTTATAAGGTAATTCGTAAAAATGGCTGGGAAAAACGCCACGATTAAGCCTACGTACGTGCTCGATAACACGAGTTTTTAAAGACCAATCATACCATTCCTTAAACGGTCATACAACCGCAAAAAAAAAAAAAAAAGTAAACAATCCTCGCGAATGCTACAAAGTCGGAGTTTAAATCGTCATCCTCGTGATCTCCTTGCAATAGTTGAACATTTTAAAAAAGTTTTAATTACATACGTTAACTGCACTAAGAACTTTTATATTATTTACTTTTCGCACTCTTAAATTCTGGTCCAAGTATATATATTTGATCTCATGAATGCATATTTTTATTATTCTTCTCCATGGTTAGTGATGGAACTACGGGTTAAAAATAGGTGATATTTAATTTTCGCATTTAGTAATTTATCAAGAATCAATTTTTTTTTAATAAATTAAGGCGTGACATTTTACTTTTTAGCACTTCTAGTCCCATGATTACTGTTCTAACGGTAATAAATTTTAATATGTAGTAAAAATAGGTTATACATAATTTATACGTACAAATGTGTATATAATTTCAGAAAACATATACTGTACTTTATATTATTAAAATTTTTTATTAATATATACTGTAGCTTTAGAGGTTGCAAATCCATCATGTGTCAAGAAAATCCCGAGCTACCGGCCAAAAAAATATGGTCGTAGTATCTCAAAAATTCCCTATATATCTAACATCAACAATTGTGTCCTATGAGTAAAATTTCATTCTGAAAACTTTTTTAATTAGAGGTCGGTAGTTATCATAGTAAATTTTGGTGTCATTTACGTTTTTTTATAATTTCTTATGTTTTTCGCGTTTGTTTTTTTATTGGATCCGGATAGATCTTCAGCCCGGGATTGTCTTGACATAACGATAAGGGTATCCGCAAATAATTCTATTTGATACAAGATCATCTTTTTAACAGGTTTCATTCAAGAACGTTAAACCGGCAATTGCAATGAATACTTAATGACTTCTATGAAACCGGTTATTTATAAGAACTAGCGAATCAAATAGTCAAGCCACATGATATAAGCCTCAATGTTTAGCTAATCTTCTACTAATACGTTTCTTAAATGCACGATAGATTGACAGATTGACATGTATAAAAACTTTTGAATTTTCGAAAATTACCAAGACATAATAATTGACCTAATGTTGAAACTTGCAAAAATAATAAGTGGTCATTCAAATAAAAAGAAAAAAGAAGATATATCTGCGTTGCATAAGTCTGCAGATACTTTCAAAGATTATTCTGCCACTTCGATAGTTGACAAAATTGACCAAATTGATCATACAAATTCTTCAACACTCAATCAAATTGATGCCACTTCAACAGACAACACTTCTAATGTCGAGTCTAGTACTTCTGCAGAAGATGATCCTGTATGGTCAACAATTGAATGGAATATTCAATCTTCCGGAATTGATGAAGTTTTAGTAATAACATCAAATGTGTGGAATGATGATAATCAACAACAAGTTCGTAATATTCGTAATAGTAGTAGAAAAGACGGAATACTTAGAGATGATTTTGAAGAAAATGTATGGGCAGATGTACAAATCGTTTCTTCTATACCTGGTTCTCTCTTTTCAGCCACTGAGTTATCAAATGATATCGCACAATCGGAGGATCATAAAACACCTCTGACGTTACACGAAAATGTCGGACAGTCCGCACAGGAAACATTAAGGAACCAAGGGTTATTAACTCTACATTCACCAACTCTACCAAATATGGAAAATGTACCTTTATTTTCCTCTACTAAAGAAAATGTCGAGCCCAGAAATAGGTCGCCTTACAAAGATAAGACAATAAATTATAAAGGTTATGCTTCTGAAATAGATCAAATGGATCATTTTAATGCGGACACATCATTTGCTCTTTCAATTAAGTCATCTTTTGACGATCCTTTAACCAAATCTACGAACGATAATGAAAGTTCCACATATAATGCAAATGTTGATAGATGTGAAGATCTGATCATCGAAAATAAAAAAATGGACGGGAATATTAGTTCTGAATTGCATGTGTTGATTGATTCCGCAGGGTACAGTTATATTAAAGATACTAAAATTAGTGGACAAGAGGTCGACCATGAAAGAAATCTTGCACGAATAGAGAATGTTCAAAATGATATTATGCACCGTGACATTATTAACGATAACGATGACTTTGAAGTTCTGACTAATCATAGAAAAAACCATCTGGGTCTAGCAATCAATTTCGATCATCTTGGGGTAGATATAATTACTTGTATGTTATCAAATGTTCAAAAATATATAATAACAATAATAAATAAATGAATAATTGCTATGCCAACTCCTTCAACCTTATTTTATTTTTATGTCAGTCATTTTCTGATATGGCTTCTCTCTGGATTGCTGTTTTGGACATGCTTGATAACTCTAAAATGATTGGCCGATCTGTCGATGAAATGTCTCCGTCCATCGAAGAACTTGCATATAGCGCTCAAGAGTAGGCAAATTTTTCTGCTGATAATTTTAAAAATTATAAGGATTACTTTGATTCTGATATATATATATGCACATATATATATATATTTGATTTTATTTTCAGATCTCTCGACGCTCGGCTAACTTGGAAGTCGGTTATAGAAACTTGGAATTACAAGGATGGTGCTGGATTTTCTTGGTGGGGTTCACAGATTCAGAGTTCTTACTTAGAATCCATTCTATCTATTTATAGGGTATTTTTCTGTATATGCGTTAAATGACTGATATCACCTCATCAGGCATTTTATCTGACGTTTTATTTGTTATAGATAAAATCAGCAAACCAGCTGCCTGCCAGTGAATTATTTGGTGATAATACCACTCATTCATCAACGTCCATTACATCGAGTGACCAGGTTTGATTTATGATAAATGTAATATTAAATAATGTAAATTCGATGAATAATTTATTCTTTATTTCAATATAAAGATCTCAAATACAGCTACTATTATAGATGATAGTTTGCCTGAAGACGATGTCAAGCAAGATGACTCAGATTTATCCGAGAATCTAATAGAGTTTAATCAACATTCTTCAGTATCAGCATCAGAATTTTCTTTATTGGATTGTATCGACTCTCAGACAGCTAACTTATCTATTGCACCAGCATCTCCGCAAAAATCTGATATAATTTTCGACTTTGAGGAGCTGATAGGATTAGATTTTACAAACTTTACTACAGAGCATCCTTCATTGACGGAAAAAATTGATGGACCTATAAAATTACAGGAAAGCCCAGATCAATTTCAGACGTTTATAGAATTTGCGAATGGCAACATGGATTCTCATAGTTCTTTACATTTATATGATCATGAAACGAATTCAAGTTTTACATCTATATCTTCAGATTTTGGTGAATTTATATCGGCCGAAAATGTACAAACTGTATCAGATCGTTCCTCAATTTTATTTGGGTTTGAGGAAATGGCATTATCAGTTAATGATGACGATTCGACTTTAAAACAAGTTACATACAATAATTCTCCAGAATCAACATCGCAACAGGATACATGGATGTCTTTGTCTGACCTTTCATTTTTAGAACATATTACTATTTCTTCTCGTAAACCGCATCAAGATTTATTATTGGATTTTAACAACTTTATTTCATTGAAATCTACTGCTAAATAAGTTATGGCACTTTATTGGCTGAAGTTTTAATTATGAAGTTTCAATGCTAATTATAAATTAACTATATATTGTGTTTAGAAGTTCAAACTTAATTAAATATCCGTAAAGTTCTACTTATAAAAGTTTGACTTAAAATTATTTTAGAGAGACATTATATTTAAAATAGTCTTAGGTATTAAGCCTCAATTTTATAAATTGCCAGAACTTTAGGGCTACGTGCTAACTCGTACGGGAAGGTCCGTGTCGGAATGCCTCGGAACTACGATCGACAGGGTCGGAATTTAATAATTGTTCGGTGCGAAGCGGAGGAATCATATAGAAAATCCCTAACTGCTGACCAAAAAAATGTGTCAGTAGTATCTCAAAAAATTCCTATAGATTTAATATTAAAATTTGTATTTTGTAAGCAAAATGTTATTCTGAAAACTTTTGCATACGTAGCAAATTTTTGTATAATTTGCTTTCTTTTCTTTTTTTTTTTACAATTTCTTATGTTTTTCACGTTTGTTTTGTGATCCTGTAATTTTATTGGATCCGGTTAGGTCTAAAGTAATCTTTAGCCTAGGATTTTCTTAACATAAAGGGATTTATACAGAAAGATTCCAAATTTTCGGGCTTGAATATCTCGGAATCATGATTAGCAGCATCGGAATTACGTAACTAATTTTGCTCAATATTCCGGTTTTACTACATAATAAAGTTATAGTTTACTAATTTATGAGCAAATGTATTAAAGAAGAGGTTTATGCATTCAATTTCTTATGGTTGACTATAGAAAATTGTTGCTGGAAGTAAATTTTGCTCTTAAATTAATATTTTCATAATATAATATATATTGTATTCTGTTAAGATAAACAAAGTTTTACATATATTTTTTAAAAAAAGTATCAATTTTTTTTTCTTTTTTCTTCCTATTTAGAAGATCTTTAGACATCTTTAGAATCTGTCACATCTCTTTAAAGGCCAGAGTTATCATACAGCAGAGGGCATGTGGCTCTTATATTCATTACCATACTTGTGAAGATAGTTTATACTTCATTAAGTTTGTCATATAATGTTCTAAGTCTTTGGCAAATTATTATTTTATATATTGTTTTTATTATTTTTGAAGAATATTAAGTCAAATTAATTTAATTTTTTGAATTAAATTTTTTTTAAAGTATAATTTAGTTTAAATTTAGGTTTAAGTTATATTTCTGAAAAATAAATTTGTTAATATTTTTTTGATTTTTATATCAATTTGTAAATTGAATTTTAAACTTAATAATATTATAAAAGAAACTATAAAGAATTTTAGAAAAACTTTTTTTT